TTGCTACCTTAATACTACCTACTGTGTGTGGAATTAATGATTTTCAATTTAATCAACCTAAATTCCTATTCATTACCCTTTTTCTATTTATAAACATTTTTATTCTCTCGAGTGAGTGTGTGTCGTTAAATAAATAGCCGTCTTGTAATTTTGTGTTCTTGTGATCACAGTTTTGTACGCTCCGACACAGAAGGTCGGTCTCTGGGGCGTTGATGTTATAGCGCCACCATCGGTGATTATACGAGAATAAAATGGCGTCGTGGTAAAACTGGGTTGTGTTGTTGACTCAGAGGTATAATTTTACATTCGGATACGGAAAATATAATTATCGTTTAACTGACAAGTTGATTACTTCATCTGCTGTCAAAGACACAGACAACATGATATCAGACCTTATAATATTCGGGTAAGTATATCGTAATTATGTGAGTTGTGTAAACCACGGTTTATTATACGCTACGATTGACACGTTGACACAAAATGTAAGGATCTAATAATGTAGACGTTAATAATGTCCTTGTACTGATGACTGCTAGTGTTAACAGTTCGTTGGACCTCTCTTCCCGTCGGAGCGTATCTACTACAATGTCAAACATTTTTATCATGAAATAACGACTGTGTAGTCACGTAAACGTATTGTTTTGGTTCAATCCGTCTTTGTGGCGATGGCGATTGTGGTTTTTAAAAAAAATTGGGGTTGTTACTTTGACAGTAAAGGCAACTAACAGTGAAATGCGGAGTTTCAACTTGCCTTGATTTCATGACGAGTTTTGTTTATTTCTTTCATTTATTTTTGTAATCATTAGCGCTCCCCTTTAGAAGTGTTTCTCAGAACCTTCCAAGCCCAGGGATTGGACCAAAGAATCATGAGACACTATTGTTTATGTTATTTACAAAGTTAATCTATCTTTTGTTATCCATTGTAATTTTAATCCAGAAGGTAAATTTGTGAGATTAGGCTTAACTGGAAGTGCCCCTTTAATAAATAAAGTAATATAAATGTAATATTAATAATAAATCATTTTTATTTTGCAGAACTCTTCTAGTAAATGCAGGGGCAATACTTAATTTTAAGTTGTAAGTATATGTATCAATCATTCATCCATCATGATCTATGGGCAGGAGTCGTCATATTTCCAGGTTTTACTTTTCTCTCTGTTGGTTACTCATGTTAGAGTAACCATGTGTAACATGCAACTCTTGTCCCTCTAACCTGCATAACATGATTTGTTTGCCAACGCCCCAGTTGTCAGGCATGAAAAGCATTGTATGTTAAGCAGGTTTCGACTGTTGAAAAAGGTTTCGAAAAAGGTATTTTCACTAATTTTTGATGAGTTGAATGTAAAAAATAGGAAAAAAAAGATATTTTTACTGATTTATTCCTCCAGCAAAAATAGCAGAAATAATAAATACTTGTGATAATAAAGTACTTTATAATATATCGTAATGTTTATTATTATACATCTGTCACTGTATTCCTTTAAGTTGAGCCAAAAAAAATTGTTCTGTTGCCCTCAGCGACCGACCGAAAATATGAAATATTTTTCCCCCATATACCTCGGCTATTTAGTTTTCACGAGTTTAAATAAAAAAAATTTAAAAAATACGACCGACCGACATAATTTTTCAATTTTCCAAATTGAGGGCAACATAAGTTTGTTTGTTTTTGGCCTTATAGCATGTCATAATTTGGTGGTATTACACAGGGTATCTGCATACAACCATATTAATATCTAAATGCTATCATGTGGTATTTTAGAAGATGATTTTGAAAACAAAGTTTCAATAATTTTCACCAAGCACTCATTCTGGGCGTCCTGCACCAATCTTTTTGATTGGGAAAATGTACAACATTGTTATTATGAGTAATAATGCAACGTATCATGCACTCACACAGTACTACACAGTCATATATTTCAGTCGTTCTTCTCACTGAACAGTCTTTGTGTATACTTTGCACCATCCTCACACTAAAGTGTTTCCATTGTTAAAGTCTCATCATTGTGAATGTATTTTTATTTTTCATGTTTGTAGAAAAAAGAAGCATGGAGATACAGACTCGTTTGAAGTGGAATCACAAGAACCTACTACTGGTATGTCTTGTTTATGCCGGTAGTACAACAATAGTATACATTGGTTGAAAGAAAGACTTGGCTATCTCAAAACACATGCAAATATGTTACAGATTTTCACTTTGTCTATATTGCATAAGAAAAATTCACATTAGGCAAAATATTTGTTGCTGTCATCCCTGGTCTATGCAAAACTTTTTTTGTACTCTCAGGAGCGAATATCCGGTATTTTCATTACCTGGCAACTACAATCAATGAAAACTACAGTCAAAGACTCTCAAGAAACTATACTTTGGGCTAACAAGATTATCCCTACATGAGGGAATATATTTAAATTTCAACTGGCATTCCATAGCAGCTTGTGCAGAGCCCATAGAAATACATAATACAGTGGTGTGCCTCTTAGCAACATAGAATGTGCTGTAACATAGCTCCACCTTGAAAAAACTTTTAAACTTGAAAGTCTCGCTCAAATTTTGATTTGTCTTGCGTGTATAATTTCCAAGATATTGCTGAAATATGGCCTTTCTCTCATTTGCATCATGTAACCACTAGAGGGCGCACGTATAGAAAAGCTTTGTTGAAATGTTTGATAACTTTGGTGCTGACAAATACATGGAAATATTTACTGAACTAATTTCTGTATAATAATTTTTAAGTTTGCAGTACTGTAACCATTCTTTTCAAATTACTGTTTTTATTTTTTCAGGTGATAAAATAAGGGAATTTCTATTAAATCTTCGATATTTTAGAATATTTATTGGTATTTGGAACATTGTTATAATATTTCTGATGATTGTGTAAGTATGAATAGCTTTCAGTACATTGTATTAATGTTGCCATTGTTTTGGTTTTGTTAACTACCAGTAACTGCAATTTGATCTGATATTTATTATTTTTATATTTCTATTTCAGATTATTTGGTTCATAGCATCAAGTGATAAATAGTTTTAACCTGCATCTGTCATGACTGCACATCAATGAGAAATACACGACTATTCATTGGAGAGGGGGAGGTGTTACAAACATCATACAATGTACATGTACATAGCCATTTTGGTCATCAAAGCAGTGTTGCCCATAAACAGAAATGTCCTTCAATGTGTTAAAAGAATACAGTTTATGTTTTAAGATGCTACTCGACATGTGTACATATTTTAGTGCATGTAACACTGGCATTATATTGTTAAAATCTGACTATAATTAACCTTTTAGATAGTATTTAACAGTATCATGTGTACATGTTTAATCAGTGTAAATATATTTTTTTTGGGGGGGGGGGGTAAAACACTCAAATAATATGCATCAAAGAAAATTTAGCGGAAAACACATTTTGTCATTAAAACATACTAAAAATATCAATTTATTAATATTGAACAAGTACAAGATACTACAACATATGTCACTGACATATTTTTTGATATATCCAACATAGGAAACAAGTAAAATGCTCTAAAACAAAGCATAGTATTCTCACTCAATTCTTTCTATTGATTTTCTCTGAACAGAGTATGGTGACCCCAAATTTTTATATCATTGTCTTTATCTTTGTCAGTCATATGTGATAAGAAAATGACATTTACTTTTTGAGTAGCATTCTACACATTCGATAATCATATTACATGTATCAAAGAATTGTTTAGCATGTTTTAATTGGTAACTGGTGGAGTTTATTTCCCATGTACATGTATGGAGAACTTTTTCAGTAAACTGGATTTATTCAAAATCCTTGCCTATCTGTATTGAGGAAGCCTACTGGGCCAATCACCCATTTTTGCATACACAATTCTTCCTAAATTTCTTAGACCAGTTGGGGTTGTAACATACTGGCTGCATCATGTAACATACAAACGCAATTAAGTGTGACCATATTTTAACATTTCCAATCACCTGACCAACCCACATTCGTTTCACTTACAATTACTTGTGGTTATAAAAAATGGTTTATGAGTTGAGTAAATTAAATGCAAGACTTGTACATTATTGGGACTGGGTCTAATACCGGGTTTGCTCTATTAGAAGCCGAAAGAATAACATTAGAATCGCAACAATGCGCGGATGAGTCATTGTCGTTATGAACCAACCAGATGGAACGTTATGAGGTGTAACCATCAAACAATGTGCTTCTGCTTGTCTTAGAGAATAATCATATACCAGATTTGATTTTGTAAAAAACAATATTTAATTAAATTTGTAAAAATGTACATTTCATACATGAATGGGTGTTGTATTTAATCCTGTTTATGCAAATAAAAAGTTTTTTTTTTTCTAAAAACATCAGACTTATTGTTAATCACTGCTTTCACTACTAGAATATCTTCTTTTTGTCTTCTTCGATTTATGATGGTGTTTTTTCTTTTCCTTCTTTTTATGTTTAGTCTTCTTATGTTTGTCATGATTGGATTTGTGTTTCTTTCGTCGTTTATGTTTCCGATGTTGATCTGCACTGTCATTATCGTCAGTATCACTCTCAGAGGAACTGGATACATGTCTGCAATGAAAAAGTTGTCAGATGTAGATTGATTTATCATGAATAGATTTTGCAATTATTGCCCTCAGTGTTCTTACTTGTAGAATGAGTTGAAGTAAATTTACATTTGAATCAAAGACAGCTTAGAAAAAAACTCTTGTGTGCTGAGAGTACTGGAGACATATTCAAAATTAATTCAAAATTTATCTTTTCAAACAAGAAGCTTGGCAACTATGAATCATATTCAATGAAATGTGATGATTATGCAATTAGTATGCTCAAATTTCAATCCAAAACTAAAGCATTGTTCCCAGGCACTTATATACCTTATATACCTTGAAATGCAATAATTGTTTTATTTTTAATTATTATGCATCCCCAAACTAATTAAGGTTTTGTATTGTTCCAGGGCAAATATATACCAAGTTTCATTATAATGTGATGATTAATTCTTATTTGTAGATAAGGTAATTATTATGGATGTATAAAAAAAAAACATTACCCCGGTAGTTGCATTGTCTTGGTATATTTACATACTAAGATTCATTGAAAAAATGCAAGTACTGACCATCAATGTACCAAAAAAAACACACTAAACATTATGATTTATTATGCAAATTAGGTAATTAATAGGCACTGATTTAAACCAAAACGAAACAGGTCTGTCTATTGCCCTAGAGCATCCATGTACAAAGTTTCATTGAAATGTGATGATTGGTACTTGAGCAGAAAATTGATTAATCATTATGCAATTTAGGTAATTATTATACACCAATACTAATAAGATCTGCGGATTCTCACAATGAGAGTATGCGATACCTTTTTCTAGATTTCTTTTCACGTTTTCTACTGGATGATCTTTTCTGCTCCTTTTTGTGTTTCTTCTTCTTTTTCTTGGCAGCTACAATAATAATACAAACATAGTTGAAATGATAATTCTCAAGTCTAAATTGCCCTGAACATGTGTAATGTAATGTCAAGTATATTGAATTTTCAAGATGTAATGTTCCAGCTTACCGTCTCTAGATGTGGAAGACACAAAACAAAATGATTGCCTTGTGTTGAAAATTCCTATCGTATTGCATGGTAGAATGTAAATTATCTTCTTAATTTGATTATGTAACATATAGTAAGATTGTATTCTTTATTTTTGTTATTGTTGGTGCAAATTTACTGTGCGCAATACATTCGGTGTGTAATTTTATTTATTTCTCAAAAATATTGTTGTGAGTAAACAACCCACTTTACATTTACATGCAGGCTGAGTAACGTACTTATGACAGTTAATTTAATTTGCATACTGATTGAAGCTGTTTGAGTTATGGCCACAAGATCACAAACACATCCATGAAATTGAATCTGAAAAGTTTGACTGTTTGAACTGTTTCTCAAAATCAAAATTCCAAGACCTGATTTTGATGATTATTTTGTTAAGTAACATTGATCAAATCAAAAACACAGAGGGAAACTACTAATTCAAATTTGGTTTACAAGTAACCTCCATAATTTATTCATATTAACATGAAAAGTACATAGTCATAGTCTCCCATGTATATCTGCCTGCAGAAAACGTATATATTGCCATATGTACATGTGCATACTTGGCAACTGGTGAAGAATGCGTTTATCAGAATTCAACGCACTTGTTTCTTCCCTGTCACTATTTAAATCATCTTCTAAAATATGCCAAAAAATTATGATTCATCAGCGTTTCTATTGTAGGCTAACCATCAAACAGCATTATTACCACATCTGTCCACTTAGCACCCAAGAAACTCAGCTTCAAAAATCATGCGTTTTAGGCACGTTTACCAGTCTAATGCATTTGCCTGATATTCACAACAGTTGATATCTTAATATCCACGCTGTATTAAATAAATTTGATTACCGGTATTTGGAAAATTCAAACAATGATCAAAAACTAGGTTCTACCTCCATGGAAAGTCCAAGTTTGGGCATTTTGGAGGGAATGGGCGCTTAGCCAAATGTGAACCTGAAAATAGAAATGTTCCAAAAGTGGGGGGTGGGCGCATTGGCATGAGTCGGATGAGTATGCTAGCATAATATATTATGCTGACCTCTGACACAAGGACATTTTAGAAATCAAAAGAAAGTGCTTGCCCCTAGAAGTAAGGACTGGACTCTTTTTTTTATCACCTTTTCTGTCCTCTGATGAAGAGGATGACGAAGATTCCAACAACGAGTCTAATTCAGAATCACTTTCTTCACTACTCGTACTGCTAACATCCAAAGTGATATCCTTTCTGGGATCTGCACGTACAAAGTTGCGACATTGGAACGTCAGATGACCTGGATAACCACACTTCTTGCATGCTACACGTGCATCTTTAGCCTTTGGCAGCACACCTAGCATTCCTGTCAACAAAAAATATCATTGAATATGCTTCAACTTCAGACCGGTCAGAAATAACGTTATTCCAAAATCAATGAATTTACAATAGTATTATGACAATAAAGTTAAAAACCATACATGTAACAAAAAACAGACAATTAACTTTTGAATACATCGCCATATCTTGGTTAGCAACTGTTTGGAAAAGTTCTCATCACAATTACAATGTAAACTATTATTATAACTATTAAATATGAATATTAAATATTAGATGATTCCTGCCCCATCTAGTTCAAAGGGCCCGGCAAGGAGTACGATTACAGCCTCCCCCGGACGGAGTTGGCAGAATATTACACTTTTCAGGTCAGTGAAAACAAGTTATGACTGAATCGTATTAATAAAGGTAATCCCACCATACAAGAAGATGTTATCTTACCCAAACCATCATTCATGGCAGCAGACTAATTTCACATCAAAATGTATACAAAGGCAGAAGAAAAATAAGACGACACCAGCCAGAGACCGAAACACACTTTTTTTTTTTGATTTACCTTATTTTCAACTGACTGAGAAATTTCCCACAGTGCATCAAAATAATATCAATATGAAAAGTTAAAAAACAAATTATGTTCTCATTAAACTCACGGATTGAATTTTAATTTCGAATTATTCTCAAATAAGTACTAAAAACACATGACATGACACAGTACTCGAAAAAATACATAAAAACGCATGCTTTCGGGTGAATTGTGGGAAATTGGAAGGCGAATCTAAGAATATGGTATTCAAAATGGCTGCCCCCATGGAAGGAAGCCAATTGTTTTGATCTTGTTTTGTCATCGCGTTTCATCGTATTGCGGTGTTCCAGCCATTCAATGACAAACTAATCACAAACGAGAAATCAACATGAGTACAATTTATATTCATGAACCTCCTACGAACGGCAAAGTAAGTTTATGTTATTGTTTTTCATTGTGTTTACGATTTTTCTCTGCACATCGACATCAAAAGCTGCTAGGGCGACGACTATTCCTTCGTGCCAAATATCAATATGCAATAATATTTAATACTATCTAAACATCGTTATTCCAGAACAGTATAGCGCAAAAATTAATATACAATTTCCAGTACATTAATTTAGTGACAGAAAATGGGCCCTAGACGAACCGTATACATTTTTTAAAGAGCGCCCTCATTTGTGAACCTATACATTCGTGGGAAGTTGTACCTTTACGTTGAAAAAATGGTTCATTGTGCATTTTTAATAGTTTGAAATATCCTGCAAGTCTTCATATCTTGAGATTTCTCTTTGTGAAAAAAATCGTATAATATTATTTATATGAATCCTAATATTGATAAACCGTTGAAAAAAATGACATGTAATAATTACTAATTTATACTGAGTTTCAAGTTTTCCCATTATTTGTATACAATGGGAAGTTTTCTCCTATAATGTGAAATAAAAATGTTTAGTTAAATAATATTTGTAACACTGATTTTGCCATTTCAAAAATTATATTGGGGCCGAAGATTTTAAGGTGGAAATTGTTATTTTCTATTTTTGTCAGGTTGATTTAGATCTTAATACACTGACACAATAAAATAATTAATATGTAGCAGACAGGCACAGTTGAATAGTTTATTGACCCACTAAAAATAGAACTGAACATAGAACGTCAAAGCATTTGAATTGCAGAAAACAAATATTAGTTCACGCACAAGTTGAGCGGGATTCAAGATTGCACCATGCACAGTTTTGCCACTGATCAAAGTAACTCAAAACTATTCAAGGTTGAACTATTCCCAGTTTGTTGCCAGAAAACAGTTGCCTTATCATTGAACAACAATGTTTTGTCATGAATGAGCTGACTCGCTTCGCATAATTTGTGAAACAAACAAACAAAATGGCGTCGCCAATTGACCGGAAGTGCACAGTTTTCAAACTTTTAGGGTATATAGATTTCTACTATACACATGTTATCCATAGAGCTCACTGTGTGAGCTGCCTAATGTCGCTCTGTTTGCAATTGTTGTTTGAAACTTGGTGTATTACTGTAAAATACTTTATTTTCGCTTGGAATTAATTTTCGCTATATTCGCTGAAGGAATGATTCAGTGAAAATAAAATCCAGTGAATGTACCTTTTTTCCTATATTTTACATTCAACTCATCAAAAATCAGTGAAAATATATACCATACATAACACCCAAAAAGTCTTTTCAGCGAAAATTAATTCCAGCTAAAATAAAGTATTTCACAGTATTTGACAACCTGTTCAAATAAGTAATAATAATCTTGAGCAATGGCTCCTGGGCAGTCAAGATGGTACAACCTTGGAAACACTCAATTTGTGCGTGATTGATCAAATTTTGATGATCCACTCATTCAACTCATGCACTATAATAATATTTTTAGTAAATGAGCCATATTAGGCATATCAATAGACTGGTTAGCTGTGCTCGCTTGTCAAGTACCGGTAATACCTTTGTTACAAAGTATTTCTCTGTATACACACAGATTACTATATATCTGTAAATGTAAAGCTTTCTACCATCTGATTCACTAGTAAGAATCAAATACTGTAACACACTTCATTTCTGCTTGGAATTTATTTTCGCTGAAGTGCTGAAACAGTGAAAATAAAATCCAGCCAAAAGAAAACAAAAAACGAATATACCTTTTTTCCTATATTTCACATTCAACTCATCAAAAATCAGTGAAAATAAATTCCATACAAACCACACAAAAAAGCCTTTACAGCGAAAATTAATTCCAGTGAAAATAAAGTATTTTACAGTATTGTGCAGTTGGTTTAGTGGAAATGCATTGCAGTATATGGCTAGGAGTTATTTATGTGATAGACTAGTGTAGAATTGAGCAGGATCAGAAAGTTGTTTCCGCTGTTACACCCTGATTTGCTTTTTATCTTACAGGTTCTAATGAAGACTACCGTGGGCGACATAGACTTAGAACTATGGAGCAAAGAAGCACCCAAAGCTTGTCGTAATTTTATACAGTTGTGTATGGAAGGTTATTACAATGGGACGTTATTCCATCGAGTTATCAAGGGTTATATTGTACAAGGTGGAGATCCCACAGGGACGGGAGAAGGTGGAGAATCCATCTATGGAAAGCCATTCAAGGTATGGTTAATGAATGTCAAAGTAATCCTCCATATTGTTACCAAAATTTTAATAAATTTCAATAGTAACATTGACCTCATATTTCAGGATGAGTTTCATCAGAGATTAAAATTTAATCGTCGTGGTTTGGTTGCCATGGCAAATGCTGGTCCCCATGACAATGGCAGTCAGTTCTTCTTCACCTTGGGCAGAGCTGATAATTTGCAGAATAAACACACAATTTTTGGAAAGGTATGTACATTGCTTATTTTTCATCAAATTGAATAAAGAATAATTACATCAGAGGTACTGTAGAGTATTCACTGTGTATAATTTTAGCAATTTGATGTTGATTATCCATAATCTTGTAAAAATAAGTGAAAGTAAAATCCAGTCATTATTTAAGCTGTATACTGTAAATGAGCAAACTGAGCATCATTTTGTATCATTGTTTGCTTGAAATGAAATAATGATGCATAGCTCCATCATGTAGCTATGAAAGAAGCATTGCATGATGGTTAGGATTCTGCATTCATAATCTGAAGGTGATTGGGTTGAAACCTTATTTATACTATGTTGTTCTGTTCTTGGGCAAAGTACTTTTACTCTTTCTGTGCTTCTCTCCACCCAAGAGTAACTTTGTATTTGATGTAAGTGTGTTTGGTTTAATATGTCAGGGCTGATTGCTGAGTTCTATACTCTCCAAAAGTAATTGTTTCATGTCTTTACTTTACATCACATATTTGTTATTTTGATAATTGCGATGTTATTGAAATCTCACAGGTTACGGGGACCACTCTGTATAACATGCTTAAGTTGGCTGAAGTAGAGACGGATAAAGATGACAGACCTGAAGAACCACACAAGATTAAAAGTGTTCAGGTATAAATGTGTATTATAAATGCCTTTGAACAAAAGTGTTATTTTTTTCAAATATCATGAATCAGTACAAGTAATCTACACTTGTAATCTCAGGTTGTTGATTAGTAAGAAATAAAATAAATGGACTGTAAAACCACTTATTCTCACTGGCATTTAATTTTACTAATTTGTTTTTAAGGCATTGTAATTTGATGTGTTTAATATAGGTGATTTCACATATCTGTAAAAATAAGAAAATTGTAACCGAGTGAATAATTAATGTATTTACAGTATTCTAGAGTGAGGTAGATATGTGATTATGTGCTAATGTAAAAGAAAGTTGATTTTGTCTAAATATATTTTTATCCAACAATTGCTCTTTTTATTAGATTTTAAGCAATCCTTTTGATGACATCATTCCACGAAACCTTCCCAAGAAAGATGATAAGAAAGATGCCAAGAAATCCGCAGTCAGCAAGTCAAAGGCTACAAAGTAAGTCATATTGCATTGCACAGACCATCCATGTTCATTACATCATTCCACAAAGCACTGCAAACACAATATTGTCGTTCTCTGTAATCTATGGTTTTATTAGGAATTGCAAAAACGTCTCTGCTGTACCCTGCCTCCTACTTAATGCACATAAATCTATTCACATCATATATTTCTGTCTTCCTCATTTCAAGACAACAAATTTTAATTGTCTAGCGTCATCGTCTTTTGTGTCTAAATGTTATTTGCTTCCAGGAATTTTAGTTTGTTATCATTTGGTGAAGAAGCTGAAGAGGACGAAGAAGAAAC